CCCAGATTTTCATCGTACTCGGCAATATGCTTTCCATTGAAAACAAGCCCTCTTGAAAGTCATCAAATTTTTCGTGAGTCTCATCGAAAGTCATATGAGGTTAGAAACAAAACCTTTAACACCAGTAAATGTTGTTTCAGTGAAATCTAATCATTCGTAACAGCAGCACCACATACGTTTCATTCTCCTTCGATACTCATCAACCTCCTTCTCCAGTGTAGAATGTTGGCACACAATTCAAAAAATGTCGTGTGTATTTCCAGAAATGAAGTATTTCTGCCACACATAGATGAAGCCACTAACGGTTTGTCAGAAGAAAACCCGGTTAGGTTAGGTCTAAAGTGAGTGGGTCTCTTCGCCCCTCCACCGCAATCCGCAAGGGTTTATTGTGACTCACACCTAATCACACTCAGCCAAATAAACCCAGCTTCTTGACGAAGCCGATTAGTTTGTATGGTGAGTGATCTTTCAGGTCAAATGGTAAGAGTACGGCTCTGCCGAACTCTGAGAACCTGATTCGGTCCCCAGCGGGACAGGCACAGAGTATATGCTCTGCTGTTTCATCATTTTCCAAACAGAGGCGACACACACTGTCTTCCGACAGTCCAAATCTCTGCAAATGATGATTCAAATGACAGTGACCTGTAAGAAGGCCTGTTAGACATCGTAGTTCATCCCTACTGTAGTCCAACAACTGTTTGGTATCAAGCATCGAAGGGTGGATAAACGCCTCGGAGTGAGCCAATCCTGGAAGGTTCTGCCAGAAGTCCATAAATCTTCTCGCCAACCAGGTGTTCAAAGTTTGTTTGGCAAAGCCTGAAGCGGTGCCAATGACAGGTTCTGGTCCGATGAATCTGCTTGCAGGACCCTCCTTTGCAAGGGAGTCAGCAGCTTCGTTGCCTTCCAGGTTAGTATGGCTAGAAATCCATACCAGATTCCTGGACAGTGAAGGGCTCATTCGTATTTTTCATGTAGGCTATTGAATCTTTCTCATCCGGTCAAATTAGATAAAGAAATATGAGTGGAGGTACAGAAATTTGCACTCAGCTCAAAACGGTAGGATTGTTCAAAACACTAATAATAGTGAAATCTAAAAAATCCTCATCAATTCGGTACCTGAAAAAAATTAACTAGGGGCAAAGGTCACAACAATGGTTTCTTCGCGATTTTCAGCAAAACGGTCAGTTTTATCTTAAAATCAGTTCTGATAAAACTTGAAGATCACATAATTATCTATGTGATCTTCAAGTTATTTTTTTTCTAACCGCCACCATTTCTGAGATATAACGATACAAAAAGTTGGAAGAGTTGTTATAGTCATAATATGCACACATTTCCTCGCCACCTTTGAGGTAGGTAGTATACTCAGCGCGTTTTTTCCAACGTAGTTTCTTCTTTAGGCCTGTTCCACAGATCTGTTGTGGTTCTGTTCAGTTTGAAGCTATTAAATAAAAAAAAGATATTAGCAAGGGTTGAAAATGATACAAATGATGTTAATTGAGAAAACAATCATCTGATTCATAACTCTCCAATATTTCTGCTTCATCTCCTTCTTGTTATTTTTCTTCTTCTCCTTGTTCTTCTTCATCCTGAGTGCACGTAAATTTCCTCAATAGTGATTCATCGCATGTCTTCTCGTTGGTATCAAACAAATCCTCAACTGTTGGTGATTCATTATTGGAGCAGGACTGACACTACACCACTTTCAACAGTTGCAAAAAAAATGTGTCTAGTTCTTTTTCCAGCGCTAGTGGGAGTAAAGTTTGAACTGGTTCAAATATATCTTCGACCAACTTCCAACCCCAGTCTTTTGGGTCTAGCCACACTTGAACTTGGTATATTACCAAGTAAAAGACGTTGATGAGCAGCCGCTGAGGTTGGAGGAAGACAACTTAATTGCAGTCGTTCTTCATTTCAAGTATTTTCAGCGAAACATGCATATCGAAACTTACCTGAGCCCGTAGTTTTTCAGAAGCTCCATGCATAGAAGGGAGAAAGGGAGTTCTGTTGGTGAGAACTTCTTGTGGAGTTGAATCATCCTTTTTTAAAACTTTAGCACATTGAACTTGATCTTGTTTTAGAAACATTTTGAAAATTGCTGCTTTACCCCTCCTGAAGAATGTAGATGTCGTATCACAGCCAGTTATGGCGTGTGAAAACAGTTAATGATACTTCCCAAAAGTAGGTACACTTCTTGATGAATATATTTCCGGTTGATGTTGAGCTTTTCCAAATTTTGAAAAAGTAGTTTTTTCGTTTGGAATTCGAGCAGTGAGTAATACGAGTAAGTTTACATCTTCACCTATAACAATAGTTGTATTTGTTGAAAAGAATTGCTCTTTTGGTGTTTTAATTATCATTACATCAGCATCATTATTAGAATAAATACGTGTTTTCACTCCAAAGTGGTGTCAAGCCTAATAGTTTTGCATGTATTCCGCATTTTATAAAGCAGGTATACGACGACCCTAGCCACGCAATGCTAGAAAAAAATCATTCGAACATGTTTTATAAATAATTATCCCATCTACAATTTTTGTCTGGAATAATTTTATAATGAAACCGTTTTGCTGAACATCGCGAGAAACCCGTTTTTGTGACCTTTGAAATCGAGTTAATTCTTTTCCAGATATCGGATCGATGGAGATTTTTCAGATTTCATTTACGATGGTGTTTTGAACAATTTTACCAACTTTGAGCTGGGTGCGAATTTGTGTATCCTCTAAACTGATCGAATAATTCTGTGAATGAGTACAGTCACAGCAGACTGAAAAATGACAAATGATTCATTTGGTCACCATCGTCACGCTACAAATACTTGTATAATCGCCTATGTTGCTGATGCCTTTACAAAGGCTGCTCTAGATGACAGTTCTCGTGATCATGTGGCTACCTTCTTACTTCTGCAGCTGCCGAACGTTTGGGAACTGAAGGTGTGAAAATTGAGTTCATGGAACACAAGTCAAATTTGATGACATAATCAGCAGGTATGATGACGATGATATTCATTTGGAATTCCCAAAAAACTGCAGATAACACATTCTAAGTATTCAACGAAAGTTATTTTTTGTGGAGGAAAAAATCAGTATTTTTATCGACCTTTTTTTGGGTAATTGTTACCTTCCACAATCTGAAAAAATATAAAAATTATAATGGAGAACTTTATACAAGTGTAGAAGGGCAAACTTTTTAGTTTACCCCGATAAGTTACTGCGTACAAATCAAAGTATTTTTCACAAAGAAAAATCTTCTATTTATCAGTAACTTGTCGTATTCAACAATTTTGCCTATCAAAAAAATTATTGAGAAATAATACTTATCTTTCACGTTTCGGAGGCCAAAATCTGCCTCCGTCTTCAGAAATGGATAAAAAATTCGAATATATACGCAGTTATTCCTTTTTTGAGAGCTTATTTCTTCACTTCTTTGACAGATGTCAAAGAAGTTCTGAAATATGAAATTATGTCAATGCTGTTGATTGACAACTGAAACATTCGATGTAATACAAGGTACTCTCCGATATCAGTTTGTTGCCATTTCGCCACTATCCAAAGTTTTCTTCAAGATGGGTAGCCAAGTACGGTCTATTTCTAAGGAGCTATTCGAGATACAGTTCTCTCCAGACTTGAGAATTGTTTAGTTGGATGTTGTTGAATTTGTGGAGCTGTTTGTATGTTCGTTTGGTTTTTAATTGACTCTTCATTTTCTAGTATTTTCTAGTATAAATTGCCTTTACAAAAGAGCTAAAATGATATGCAATTCAACTGAGAATCTCAATAAAGAAATATCATTAATTAAATCTGTTTTGAAAGATAACGCTTATCCAGATGCTTTCATAAATTCAACGATAAATTCAATAGAAAATAAAGAGTCAATTAAAAACCTAACGAACATACAAACAGCTTCACAAATTACCGACTCAACATCCAACGACACCTTTTACAACTAACGTTATACCTTACATTCCAAGACTATCTGAAAAAATAAGACGAATTGGAAATAGATATAATGTTAGAACTACTTTAATAGACGGAGGCAGATTTTGGCCTCCGAAACGTAAAAGATAAGTATTATTTCCTAATAATTTTTTTGATAGGCAAAATTGTTAAATACGACAAGTTATTGATAAATAGAAGATTTTTCTTTGTGAAAAATACTTTTTTACGCAGTAACTTATCGGGGTAAACTAAAAAGTTTGCCCTTCTACACTTGTATAAAGTTCTCCATTATAGTTTTATATTTTTTCAGATTGTGGAAGGTTACAATTACCCAAAAAAAAGGTCGATAAAAAAACATTCTGAGTGTAAGCTTAGACGGAAGCCATTCCACTGAGTTTCAGATATGACAAGATATGATATTTGAGTCTCGTATTTATCAAAAGTTTGAAACTTGAATCATGTTGGAAAGAGTTCAAATTTCGAGCGAAGGTATAAAATTAAAACCTGAAAATGATTTTATTGAGGATTTTCGAAATACATTTCAAATTTGACAGGTTTAGAGTGGCATATCACAAAAGGAAACATACTATTTTTCATTAATTTTTCAAGCACAAACCAACTGCGAAATAAAATTTCCATTATATCTAATAATAAAAAAAGAATTTCATTTGCCGCGAACTTTATGTGTGACACTGTATATAAAATAGTGCCCTTATTGAACGTACGGCTGCTCAGAGTTGATATAGGGTCAAACAGTACCCATGAAATGTCGATTCAATCTTTTTTTGTGAAGCCTAGTCGTATAAAGACATTTCATTCAAATACAGACACACAACCTTCGGAAACCAGTTTATTCGGTTCATGATCTGTTTCTAGTCCCTTCACTTATTCAAGCGTTTCTCATAAGTTTCAACTTCCTCTGAATTCTCGCATGAACAACAACCTAGTCTCTAAAAATAAAGTAGTGGTGCAGCACAAAACTACATCTAGTGCATGGTGTTACAATTCATCAACTATGTCGAACATTTTTATAACATGTTTGAATATTCTGACTGTTGACAGCTCCACATTCACCTCGTCGACAGAAGCTGAATTTGCGTATGAAGAGCTTATCACTGGATTCGCCTGAAAGTACCGAGCATGTGAGGAGAGGCAGGCATCATGGAGCCAACGCTGCCAGTGATCCACATTCCAACCAAAGTTCTTCTTCTAGGATTCAGTGTATGAATTTACAGTTTCAAATGAATTGCTTCCTATGTGTTTTGTTGGGCACTTTGGTATTCAACGTGAGAACAAATGAAATCAGTTTCTGATCCATTCAGAAACACAACAGAACAAGAATGTTCCTCGCGAAACATTCGAAACAAATTCAAAAATGAGGTCACTGCAATTGTTGAATAGAATTCACTTTCACTTTGAAATCAATCGGCCCAATTTTCAAACAAGCTTTACAATAATCACCGCATTTCTCTACTATATTCACTCATTTATTTTTATTCACTAATTATTGCATGATTTTTCACAGTTCCTCAGTTATCTTCCAGGCCTGTTTTGAATCGCAAATCACGAAGAGACGTGAAAGCAAAATCAAGTATGCATTTTGCCGTTTTGTTAGGAACTTTATTTAATTTTTGGGTACTGAAAATAACATATCAATATATCATATCACGAAATAACCAATGACCTAGTGTCAATATAATTTTAGTAACATTAATTTGAGTAATTTCTCTCACGTGAGCTACGTTACAAAACTAATAAACATTACCCTGTTGATATCTTCCTCACAAGTTGAAAGTCATAATTGATTAATTGCTTATTGTTTGAACAGTTATTGCAGTCATCGAAGTTAATTGCGCAATTCCAAATTCAATTCAAATGCTCAAATTATTACACAGATGGCTTAAAAATAATTTTAAATCGATTTTTTCAAATAGTAGAAATATCTAATCGAGTTTATGATATTCCTATCTTATTTTCAGGAACCATTAACTATCAGTCATTTCGTTTGAGTTGCAGGATACTTTTGAACTGTTTCATTGTGATCCAAGATTTGTTTATATACTTGGGAAATTTCAATAAAACAAACATCAGACATTTTGATTGAAAGGGTATATTGTTAGAAGGGATTAATTTTTGTGAAAAAAGTTTTTGGCCTTCAACTTTTTCATTTGGAAACAAAAAATTTGTAAATCTTTCAAAGGAAGGAAGGAATCATTACCAAAAAATTTGATTCCTTCCTTCCGTTGAAAGACTCCCAAATTTTTTGTATCCAAATGGAGAAGTAGAAGGCCTCATCCTCATTCAATGAAACAACTTATACATAGAAGTCTATAGATATAACACGAAGTATGTGTGACTTCTAAACAGCATGGCATGTAGATCTATCATTTCATGGACTAACTAGTTGCCGTATTCTCACAGTATCTACTCAACATCCTTACTCAACATCCTAACGCAGTGTTTCTCAATCTGTGGTCCGCGGAATCCTGAGGGTCTGCGAGTATGTGTGTGGAGGTCCGCTGGGCTTAGAGATGAGATTCCAATCCATATGAGATCCAAGAGCGTCCAATGCACCCAAAAAGTCAACCGACAACTGCGGTAGCAGAAATTTGGGAAGCTCACCATCAATAGGTGGTTCCACTTATGTCTCGCTTGCGTTTACGCAGTTATTTTTATCGAGTACTATTCTTGGTTATCCACATTTTATCTCTACTCTCTTCAGCGGTTAAGTTGCCTGGAAGAGTTGTCCTGCAAAGGCTCAACGAAGAAGTTGAGGACTGAAATGTTCTGCCTGATGAACAATTTGGCTTCAGGAGAGACCACTCCACTGAGTTACAGGTTCTAAGGCTGGTCCAAAACACCATCCGCGAGTTGAACACAAACAAAAAAGTACACATTGTCCTATTAGACATCTCGAAGGCCTTCGACCGTGTTTGGCACGAAGGTCTTCCGTACAAATCAAATGCGTTCGACTTGCCTCGGGGCCTCGTCCCATGGATCGGGTCCTTCCTGAAAGACAGGACATTTCAGGTTAGAGTAGAGGGATCTCTGTCTGATAACAGAGAGATCCTTGCTGGAGTGCCACAAGGGGCCGTGCTCTCTCCGACGTTGTACTCACTTCACACCAGTGACCTTCCGAGGCCCGAGCGTGTGAAGATATCTCTTCACGCCGATGACACGGCTCTCCTCTCATCTTCCATGGGTCGGGAGCTCGGTGTCGTCTATATGCAACGTGCATTGGACGACCTCGAGCGCTGGTACCTTAATTGGAAGATCCGAGTGGACCCGGATAAGACTCAGGCAATAACCATGGGAAGACTGAAATCTTCTTCAGCCAGAAAAGTGAGAATCTCTGGAAGGGAGATTAACTGACAAGCGCGGGTTAGGTACCTCGGCCTTCTAATAGTCTGTAGGCTCACTTGGAACCCGCACAAAACGTGCTTCAAATCAAAGATCGAGGGTCGGATAGCACGTCTGTACCCTCTGATAAACAGAAAATCAAAAATGAGTCTAAAAAATAAAATAAATAAAATTACCATTTATAATACGATGTTCAAGCCTGTCATCATGTATGCTTCAGGCGTCTGGGGACAAGCGGCTCCATCCAACATTTCCATTCTGGAAAGATTGCAAAACAAGCTAATGAGGATGATTGTGAATGCTCCTTGGTTCGTGCGGAATGAAGCCATCCGCAGAGATTTGCAGCTGTCTTCCATTCGGCAGTCCATCCAGTCGAGAAATCAGAAAGTTTTCGATGATGCAGAAACTCATGAAAACCCATTAGTCAGGGAAGCTATGGATTATACTGTAGACGACCCCTCTCGATATAGAAGGCCCCGACACTCTGTCGAATGAGGCCCCTATATATTCCGATGGAAGATAAACAACGTTTTCATCCAATTCACCCCAGCCAGGCAGGGGTACACCTGCCTGATGTATGAGGACATTCATGCCGCCATACCATTAATACCCACATCAGTCATGACCCGTTTGTCCTTCTGGCAAACATCAGTTCAAAGGGTAAGGGAGCCAGGCTCCAACCTGACTAAATTCAAGATGACTTTCACATCACATTTTATCTTCAATCGAGGACCGCCTGTCCGGTACTGACATGCCCAATAGGCTGAAACAGCTGTCTACCGGTGACTCTTGAATTAAAATCAATATGGGAATGAATTGATGGATGTAGCCGTTACTACGTGGTAGGAAATCATAATGAAGAAAAGAGAATTGAAACTTCATGTTTAAGCACTTTTATTTGTAACTAACGTTACTGCAGTTGCGTCTTGTAAGGACATTTTCAAACTTATACATTAAGTTTGAAAATATCTCTTTTCTTCAATATGGGAAGGATCAGAATTATATTCCAGCAGCTTGACTGTATTATCCTTTCTCGATTTCATATCATTTCTAGAAACATGTGAATTCGTTTTCTGATGGTATTCCAGATCAGCTTCTTCTTTCTTTTCTATTAGTTTTTTCAGGGATTTAAAATCATTTTATATAATATCAGTCAATGGAAGTCCGAACTAATGAAATTCATCATAAAACATTGTCAATCACCTTCAAACAAACGTTGAATCTTTTGTATCTCCTTGGATCGAGTAAGGCGACAACTTTCTCACTATAATCATTGGTGATCATCATCACAACGGTGGCGTTTCCTTCTTCAGCAGACAATACCAAGATATTTACATCTGAATTGAGATTTCCCAGCATCTCTCGTTCCCATCGTTGTGTTGGCCTTGGGTGGTTTCACGAGCATCAAAATCCATGACGTTCCTATGCGAAATGCAGTGTCGTCAGATGTGAAGTACGAATATCTGATTCAATATTGGAATGATCCCCTAATGGGGTTCTTTGCATAGAGCTTTGACGAAGTTCCCACCTTTGTTGAGTATGCCAAACTCGTCTTCTGACAGTGTCCGATTGGAGAGATTGACCACTGTTTGTCTATTGTACTGCGGTACAGAATTTTCCTAGTCCTCATTGAGACACTCGTATTTCTTTATATGTCTCTTATTTATGGCTAATCTTGTGGTTTCCATTGTGACCATAGTGAGATGGACAATTTCGTCCCATTCACCCCAGTACATCGAATTACCAAGTTTGATAATAAGCTGCATCAGTTCCATGGGCTACCTTCTTTCTATTCTGATAGATTCTTTCACGTAATGACGCTTTTTTGGGGAGTTTGTGGATTCTGTCGGCATACATTATGAACAACAAATATGGTCAATGATTTTTCTGAAGAAATATTAATTGGGTAGGTTAGGTTAGGTAGGTTTGTGATGGATCTGTGGTGTTGAGGTGATAACGATTTCGTTTGAGCTCTCAGGGCGTTCCAGGCTGTGACTTCCGCTATCTGATGGCTAATGGAAATTCCTCAAGGATATTCTGGATTTGCTCCGTAGGGTTCTCCATCAACCCCAGGAGTCTGGCTGGGGGGAACGGTAGCTTTCTCCGAGGTATCCTTTTGGCTCCTCCGCGGGGCCTCCATGGCGTGTTCAGGGTGTTGATGGCTGCGGTGTTTTGGCTTCTCATAGTTCTTGTAGCGTATCTGCCTACACTACAAGAACTATGAGCAAAAACAAGAACTAATGCGAGCTAACCCTATTTGTACTATAAAGGTAACCCATGCAGGTAAACCATTCAGGCGTACCAACCATACAGGTATACCAACCTATATTAATTATACAATGTTGCCTTATCTATTATTTCACAATATATTTTTATATAAAACAATTTTCAGCTATATAAAAATTAATTTCACAATATTGCCTATCCAAATTTATTTTTGCAATGTGTCCTTATGTAGTAATCAGTAAACCCAACAACATTATTTTATTTTATTTTGTTTTATTTTAACAAGCTATATAGTATGCTCTTTGTTATAGGTCCGTCATTGTTGTTCATAATATTATTGTGTTTACTTATTTCTACACTCTCATAGGCATCTAGTTGCCTGTTGTTTGTTACCGTAAATATTCCTATTAAGTCTTCAGTTGCTGATAAAGTCCAAAAATTCGCCAAAGAAAAATGGCTTGATCTAGAAATAGATCATCTGTACACTAACCGTACGTAGTCTTTTAGAATTAGATAGTTATAGTCTATATAAAAACCTAACATATAGATTAGACAAAAATGATTACGTACAATGGAATGACTTTCAGAGAGGAATGTTTCGGATGATTGAATCAAAATATATCAGAAAAGTGTGTACGCTCAATAAGAAACTCAAAACCCTCATATCTGAGCATAAACCGAAAGAAACCACTCAGAAAGTCATAAATATTTTCGAAAATCATTCATCACAATCGTTTGACAAGGAAGAGATCAACCTTTTGAACAACGGTTTGAAATTTGCCATTGTTGAAAGTTCGATTCAATATATGCCCGATTCCTCGAAGGGGCTGGTTCGAGAAGAGGTCAGGAATCAAATCTCCAAGAACAAGGTAACAGATAAACGGAAGCATTCAATAAACAACAATAAAAACCGAAAAAAACTTATCAAACGATTGAGAGAAATTGACGTTTTTTATTTGAAAGCCGACAAAGGTAACAAAGTACTAATTCTGGATAAATCGGACTACTACGAAAGGGTCAATACTCTCATGCGAAATTGTCCAGGTACCCGTTACCAAAGATGATTGCCGAAGTAAATGACGTCCTCAAGAAATGCGACAACATACTCACTCCTCAACTGAAACGGAAGTTACAAGTTTCCAACCCAACGGTGTCGAAACTATATCGCCTCCCAAAAATCCACAAACCGGGAAAATCAATGCGCCCCATCGTGTCAGCTATTGGAGCTCCTACCTACCAAAACCGAGAAATTGGAAACCTTGTCTATTGCGGAACCAAGTTATAGTATAAAAAAATCTGAGTTCATACAACATACAAAAAACGTGGTTCTGCAAGAAGGTGATATTTTGCTTTCTTTTGATGTTAGTTCCTTATTTCCTAGCATCCCAATTCCACAGAACTTGCAATACCTCAGGGAATTACTACAGAAAACTAATTTCAATAACAACGAAATCAATGAATTCATTTCTCTTACTAATTTTTGTATGAAACAAAATCGGTTCCAGGTAGAAGGTTGCTTTTATGAACAACAGGAAGGAAAGGCCATGGGAAACCCCTTGTTCCCCTACCTGGCAGATCTGTTCATGAGCAGATTAGAACTGGAAACCAAAGAAAAGTCGAAGTATTTTCCTAGGATTTGGCTAAGGTATGTGGATGATATTTTCGCGATATTCGATACCAAAAAATCGAATATTGACGACTTTGTTTCCATTTTAAATAATAGATTTTCATCAATAAAATTCACTTATGAGTTATAAAATAAGGGACAACTACCATTTCTTGACGTTTTGGAGATGACAAAATCACGTACAGGATTATTCCTGACAGTTCACATCACTGTGGACAGCACAAACGTGCTGGGTTGAATTTTTTAGTGCATCGTCTTTTGACTTTTCCTCTAACACATGATAGGTTCACAAAAGAAAGACGTACAATACAAGAAATAGCAGCCACTAAAGGTTTCTAGAGGGGTATTGTAGATGACATAATAAGGAAGGAGAAATTTAGGTTAAGAATGAACGAAATCTCGACTTTCAGAAAGGACAAAAACCAAGATGAATACATCTCAGGAGGAGGAACTTTTGAAAGATTTTCAAGGAACTAGGTATGAAGGTGGTTTTTGAAACAAGTCATATACACGGCAGAGCCTGTTGGGAAGTCCAAAAGACAAAGTCGAGAATTCGGAAAAGTCTGGAATTTACGAAATTGAATGTAAGGACTATGATGCAGAATATTATTGACAGACAAAAAGATCTATTAAAGTAAGATATAAGGAACACATAGCATACTTAAAATATGGAAGACCTGAAAAATCAGCAGTCGCCATCATATTTTGCAATAAAACCATTCCATAGACTTCAGTTCATTAAGATCAGTTAGACATGTTAACAACAACAGGCAACTTGATATCTACCTATGAGAGTGTAGAAATAAGTTAACACAATAATATTATGAAAAACGATGACGGACCTAAGCCAAAGAGTATATAGCTTGTTAAAATAAAATAAAATAATGTTGTTGGGTTTACTGATTACTACATAAGGACACATTGCAAAAATAAATTTGGATAGGCAAAATTGTATAATTAATATAGGTTGGTGTACATGTATGGTTGATACACCTGAATGGTTTACCTGTAAGGGTTACCTTTATCACTTGGTGATCTAAACACGTGTCGAGATGTTGAAAATAAGGATTTGATGTTGGGAAAATACTCCAGTAATATTTTTTTTCTGTTGATCAATCTTGAGTTAGTTTCTCGTTCACATTATCGCACGTCAGGATTACTAATGGGCACTTTTTTTCTGTAAATACACCAATTATAATTGAAAGTATGAAAAACATGTGATTAGGTTAGCCTCCTGTATATGTTTTCTTCATTCTGAATAAATTAATAAATCTGTTCGAAAATTATGATTTTTTTTGGAAGTTTGCTTAATATAATTGTTATTTTCAATTGTTCTTTTTCAATTATTCCTTTTTACTTGTTTCAGGGATTTCAAATCATTTTATATAGTGGACAATGGAAGTCCGAACTAGTGAAATTCATCACGAAACATTGTCAATCACCTTCAAACAAATATCCCTGATGTTCAGAAAATTTAATTTGCCTTGTCGCAAAAACGATACAAGTGCAGTGTGAACTACAGATTCACTTCATTATAAATATTTCAGTTCTGAAAATTGGTTAGTTTTTTCAGGCATACTTTCTATTTCATTTTTTTCATCTCATTGTTCAGTATTCTGGTATAGAAAACAAATGAGATCATGTTTCAGGGGAAACTTTGGATTACAGAGCATCCTGATTTCTAATTGATCAGAAATTCATAGCATTTCTGTGTATACAGGATCGTTTCTTCCTCATATCTACCAGTAATATTGAAAGAATTGAAATTTTTTCTTATCTTGTCTGATTTGTTCATATGAAACAGTTCAGAAGTTTTTTTTTCAGTTAGAGAATATCTGAGAATCCACATATTCTACTACCCAAAAAACTGAGAAACGTAATTTGATTTGCAGCACCCTCTAGCCCTGTTCACAATCGTCGATTGCTTTCAGCCAAAAACATTCGAATGTCCTCAGTCGAACTTCCAGACGATAACGATAAGAGTCCTTCGTCCGCGAGCACATCTCCTTGTCCTAGTCCTGTGGGAGCGAAAGTAAGTATTTCCAACTGAACATTTCGCAAACTTTCTAGATGAACTTTTAAGTTATTTAAGCACGGAGGTCGAGTTTGATGGCCCGATCTCAAAGTAGTCGGCCAACTTATTAAAAAATCATTCCGTTGGCATTCTTTCCAGAATATAAACGAGTTTTCTCATCTTGTTATCCCAATTGAAAAACTTGGGAAGGAAATATATTTGGAACATTTCCTTAAAGGCTCGATGTTCAGAAAAAGTGGTGTTGCCTGAATTGAAAATGAGTGAATTATCGATATTATGTGGTTAGCAATTTGAATATGTTGAGACTGTCTCACCACTAAAAAGGGAGGTACCACAACCCTTCAGAAGTTTCAGTGCTAATAACGTGAATAGATTCATTCAATCATTAGTAGTCCAGTCATTATAGTAAGTTTACCTCGGAATTCGAGATACACAGCTGTAAGTCTGTAAACACTTGTATATTGACACTCTTAAAGTTGTCTCAAAACCTACATATGGTAGGGTGTAAGCAACTATTAAATTTCAAGGTCAAAGGTCACAAGTATCGGTTTTTTGCGCTTTCTTTGGAAATATCTCATTTCCTATGGGTTTTTTGCTATTTGTATTCATAATCAATATTGTAGAATACAAAATTCTCTACAAAATTTGTTGAAAAAAATTTTTTATACGGTGAACCGTTTTCGAGATAGAGGGCGGAGAGCACGCGGTCACAGCATCACTTCAGGTCAACCGGTGCCTCCGGTCGAAAACGCGCCATATATAGTTGATGAACTATCGATAAATCAATGATTATAAATATTTGTCAATTTTTATTGACTATTATATTATATTTTATCATTTTTTTCCTAACCTATCCACTTTTTATTCTGTATCAATTTATTTAACAACACTGACTTGCCCATGTAATTGCAGAATTGTTAATGAAAATATCGGAATTATATTTGAATTTTAACCTAATTAATATTTGTAACTTCTTACATGATGAAAATAAAAAAACAAATAGATTATGAATTAATCTTTTTATTAAAAAATATCATTGAATACATTTATTTTTATTGAATGTAAAGGAATGGAATAAAGGGTACAAAAACTTCAATTTATAATTTTAATCATCTTCTTCCTCTTCATCGTCGTCTTCTGGCTGCTGGTAAATTTCAAACTGGTCTTCATTATCGTCTTAATACAAATAGCAAAAAACCCATAGGAAATGAGATATTTCCAAAAAAAGCGCAAAAAAACGATTTTTGTGACCTTTGACCTTGAAATTTAATAGTTGCTTACACCCTACCATATGTAAGTTTCGAGACAACTTTCAGGGTGTCAATATACAAGTATTTACAGACTTACAGCTGGGTATCTCGAATTCCGAGATTCTTACCTAATTTAAGCATAAATGACTGGATTATAGAGAGAGTCTTGGAATGACGTGTACAATTTTTCCAATGTCGAAGCCATTTTTATTTACCACTTCAACATCTGTTTTCCACTCAGAAGGCATTAAGGTTCAAAAAATTCCAATAAATTGTGGATTGATGATAATGTTAGGAAGTCGAGCAATAAATTGAAGGATTTATTTCTATTAAAATGTACTTTTCCCGTCCTGAACGAAGCTTATGTATCTGCAAAGAAGCAACATGGATTGTTATTAACAGAAACTAAGCGATCCTGCTATCAAAATAAAATATTTAATGCAAACAATCCTGCAAAAATGGCTTGGAATGTAGTATCTGATTTGACTAATCGTACAACATACCTTTAATAATATCTCTATCTCGCATGAAAATGAATCTGTTGAAGACCCAGAGAGAATCAGTAATTTACTTAATGAATGTTTCAAAATTATGCCAATCAAACTTCTCAGTGAACATAGTCCTCAAAGGACAGCTCAACTTCCCGAACCTGAAATAATTGGGTTCAATGAGTCCCTGTTTCTAGCACTCTTTTCAGAACCTGAATTTTTACAGTTGATGTCGAATAAATTGAAGAATAAAGCCTCGTCGGGGCCAGATGAGATTCCGTCATTTATTTTGAAGAAGATGTTACGTCACATTATTTCGCCTCTATCTTATCTAGTCAATCTTTCTTTCACTTTATTGAAAATCGGCAAAGTCATCCCAGTATACAAAAAGCAAAATCCAGCAAATCTTGAAAATTATAGGCCCATTACTCTCCCATCCTGTTTTTCTAAGGTTTTTGAATATTCTTATCTCCAAAGACTTATGAATTTTGCATCAAGTCATAGCATCTTCTCAGATAACCAACATGGTTTCCTGCCAGGACGCTCAACCCAGAGTGCGGTGTTGTCATTTTATGAAAAATTGATCAAAGCAATCGAATCAGGTGAGTGCCCTGTTGGGATCTTCTGTGATCTCAGCAGGGCATTTGACTGCGTTCAGCATGAGGTACTCCTATCTAAATTGTCGAGTTTCACTCGACTGGATACGGAGTTTCTTAACACAAAGAAAACAATTTGTTAGTATATCTTCCACTAAATCTGCATATCAAAATATCTCTATGGGCGTTCCCCAAGGCTCTGTTTTGGGGCCAATTTTATTTTTATTTTACATGAATGACATGGATAATATCGAATCTTCTGCCAGCTTTATTAGATATGCAGATGACACCAATATATTTGTCTCTGACAAATGTGAAAATACCTTGAAACAAAAGTGTACAACTGCGGTTGGTAACCTCATTTCATGGTGTGATCAGAAGTGTCTCTATTTCAATAGTAATAAGACAAATATAATACGATTCCACAACTACCAAAAACAATGTGAAACTGTAACAATAAAAACTGATGAAATCTT